GTGTGTATATATATATATATATATATATGAAATACTGCTTTCTTCTAGAGGAGTCATGTTTTCCTACAATGATTTTTTTTCTTATGGATGAATATCAGCTGAGATGTAAAATAGTCTGGAGCCCATTTGTCTTTGTAGGTGTCAGCTGTTGCTTCTCACTTACACTTACCGCTATTCCACCTCCCTGAAGCTATAGGAAGGTGAACAAGCAGAATCAGCTTGGGCTTTTGCAGCTTGCTCACTGGAGTCAGCCTGACCGACAGTGTCTCAGCCTTAAGGAAATGCATAAGTAATTTAAACAAACAAACAAACAACTCTGCAAACATCTTTTTCTAATTTATTGGCACTATATTCTGTATCAAGGGATAACAGAAAATAGGCCCAAAAGAACAGTCCCTTTTAAAAGAAAAAACACATTTAGAATCGCATACCTCTGATCTAGATTTGAAGAACACGCAAAAATAAGAGCTGTAATTGCCAACATTCTTTCAACCCACTACAGACTCTTTTCACAAGACGAGATTGACAATTTTTATTTGCTAAATTTTTAAATCATTAAGAAATGCTGCTCTTTTCTGCATTCAGTTCATTTTTCAATTGGTTCTCACTTTTTCCTGTCCATTTGCTGTAACTTATGTGCGTAGGTGTATTGTGTGCATGTATGGGTGCTATCTTGGATATATATTATGTAAGCTAATGTCCTGGTTATCCTTATATACCTCAGCTATTGCCCCAAAAAATACCAAAAAAGTAAATGGAAAAAACACCGCCTCCAACTGTATGTGTTGAAGAAATCAAAGACTTCTTCCTAAGGTGGACTTTACAGTCAGCCAAGCATCTGACCATCATTTAAAATGCAGTTTTACATTATAAATATGATAGGGCAAAGGCTCAACACTGGTGGGGAAAAAAAATATTTAAAAATCAAACAAGAACAAAATACAAAAAGAAAACAACTTCGAAAAGTTTTAATTTTCTTTTCTTCTTTTCTTAAAAAACCTTCCAGGGGGACTGGATAGCTCAAGGGGTTGGTAATAGGATACAGAGCCTTTCATCTCTAGGTCACCAGTTCGCATCCAGGCCAGGTCAGTAATGACCAAAAATTGTTACCATTTGATGGGTTTTCAGTGACCTATATGAAATAAGTTGTTGGAACTGTTATTGGAACAGTTGCTGGAAGCTGTTCACTTCTTATTCAAGAAGATGTGGCTGATCTTTTGGCAGTCTCAGTAGCGAGACTGCATTACCTGTTCATCTAAAGATGCAAGACACACTGATGGCATTTTGTATAAATCTTTCCTTCTACAACTATTATCAATTCATAATTGTAGTAACAATTACTGTAGCTGTTAGTATTCCGCTGCCTGTTCTGGATCTGTGCTGCGGTCCAATAAATCTCAGGGTGGTTAAAAAGGTAACTGCTACAAGCACTCAATTCATACAAAACCATTCTTCGTGTGAGCACAGGTAACCTTGATTTATTTAAGTTGCAGGACTAAATCCCCATCTTTCTTTCTTCACATCTTTATTTTCAGGTTTTTCACCAAGATTAAACAGAGGAATTCAATCAGTATAACACATCCAGAACATTTTTATGGGTGAAGGGAAAAAAAAGAAAAAAAGAAAAAGCTAAGACAAGCACTAGCTGGGCTAGAATTTCAAAGCAGCAATAGCATAACACAGTGTCATAGATCAGGTTGGACTTGGAATAAATTCCAGAATCATTGCATTCCTAATTTTTAGGTTGTTCTCAGTTCCATCAAGCTAAGTATCAACAGATTTCTTCTCCCACCAGATAGCAAAAAAACATTTCCCTTTCCCTCACTCCTCTGAAAATGGTTTCTTATGTTCAAGAATATTACTGGGACCTTGTTAGCCTTTATAAGCACTTTTTAAAATGGCTAGTTTATGCATACATCACCTAGACACTTCACATTTTCTGTAATAGAAATCTCAAGAAGCAAGCATGCTTCCTTTAAAGTTATCACCAAAAATAGAAGCTGTCAAGAAAAGCTAAATTTAAAAAAAAAAATGGTTTTATAAAAGATAAGGATAATTCTCAGTTACAGAAAGATCCCATTTCTACTGTCTGGCATTAGAGGAGGCTCTTAAAATGAGAAGAAAACATGCCCTGAAAATAACATTTCTACCTAAGATCTCTAAACAGATCCTAATTCCTGGCCATAATATTTGGGAGGAGGAGAGTGCTGAGTGACGAGTAACACAAACACAATCCTCTGCTTCCAAAGGCCTTCAAGAGGCTGTGAAATACAGGTAGTAAGATTGAGCAGCTCTGAGCTTGCTCAGAATTATGTTGGTAGTGGGGAACACCCCTCTATGTTTCAGAAAACAGGGAACAAAGATGGACTAAGACACCCTAATACATCCCAAGTATCCATGCCAATCTTTTCCTGTCTTACTGCAGGAATTAGATTACTGAGAATCAGAGCTTTACTATACATTTTATTTTACCTTCTGCAAGGTCCTAAAAGTTTTACGGAGAAAAAAAGTAAAATTTAAAATAAAATATAACTTGTAAAGGAGATCTGGTATTAGATACCTAAGGACAAATGATTGCTCAGCTATTAGCCAAACAAATACCACAAATGTTTTGATAGCTCTGACAGACACATGTGATAAATTACTGTATCTATCAGAAAAATACACTTTTTATCTACCTCAGTAATAAGATATCTTGCCTGCAAGGGGCTGAGAAGGCAACTGGCCTAAAACGCAAAATCAAACCCCCTAAATATGTCCTTGATATATGTCCTTCTTTAGATAAATGAAGGGTATTACTGACTTAAACTCAATACATGAAACAATAAGACTGGAGCTTGAAATAAATTATGTTGATTCAAGTAGACACATATTGCAAAACTGTCTTGCTTTTCTATACAAAGAAATTAATCTTTGTTATAATCTTGCATGGAACAATAAGGCAATAAAGATATGTATTTAATTCCTGCATAATCCTTTTAATGTAGAGCTTAGTTTCTAGATTCATGGCATTTGTGTTTTCAGCTTAAATTTCAAAGCTATTTTGATCAAATCTACAGGTTGCCATTTTTCTTTAAACATTTTTAAGCTATAACTTCATGCATTTTTAGATTTTTATTATGTCTGTATTTTTATTTAACACATTTGTCTTTTTTATATAGAACACATCAGTATCAGGCTTCATCTTATGACCGCTAGGTCTTCTCATTTGTTTTTCTTTTAATTATTTTATTTTTCTCACTTATTTTCCTTTCATTACATGTACTAATGTTAAGTATTTAAAAGAACAGTGCAATGCTACAGTTATTAATGTACTGCTTTAACATTTGTAGTATTAGTTTCTGAACAAGCATTTATAAAGCATTGGTAAAACAGTATACAAAACTTTATTGCTGTAAATATTCTTACACTTTTTTCTTTTTCCCCCTGTATTTGTGTACTAGGTGGTTGTGAATGCCCTTTTAGGAGCAATTCCATCCATCATGAACGTGCTTCTCGTTTGTCTTATATTCTGGCTAATTTTCAGCATCATGGGAGTAAATCTGTTTGCTGGGAAGTTCTACTACTGTGTTAACACCACAACTGATGAAAGGTTTGAAGTCGACCAAATCAACAATTTTAGTCAGTGCGAGGAACTCATAAAAAACAATCAAAGTGCCCGATGGAAAAACGTGAAAGTAAACTTTGATAATGTAGGATTTGGGTATCTTTCTTTACTTCAAGTAGTAAGTGATCACTCTTTATATACCTCTTACTGTTTATATGTAATAGTGAAAAGCAATTCAAGCAACAAAGACAGAAAACATATTTACATAATGATTTTTATCTGTGACTTCGTAATAGAGCTGCACTGATAATTGATTACTTTTTTCATAGTAAGCAGCAAGTAGAGCCTACTAAAATGAATAAAGAATTCTTAGGACATCTGACAGAACAAGTGCTATTCTTCCCATTTATAGCTCCCTTAGTCCTCCAGCCCCTTCTAGCTTTAAAAGTTTCTAGAAGAACCTAGGAATGATATTCAGTTATCTGAATACTCTAAGTTTTACTGTTGCTGAAAAACAAAAAACTGCATTGGTGTGATTAAGTCATAGAGTAGAATTCCAGGCAGGAAATCCCATCTCAGCAATGTGGCTGCCACCAGTGCAGACTTATGTGATTTAAGAAGCAATTTCTCATTTGGAAGAGAAATAAGAAAAGTATCACTACATACTATAATTTGTAAAATATTTTCCGTGCTATTTCTGTGCACAAGCACCTTGTGGAGTTTCTTTAACAAAAACTGAACGAAGAAAAGAAGGAAGAAAATATATGCAGAAAGATACTATAAGGTTACACCTTCACTATCAGAAATTGTGTCTTTCTATTTTGGAGTAGCTAACAATCTGACCCAGCTTTAATCAAGGAAATGCTGGACTCTCACCTATGTTGTGCACATTCAGCAACCTCTATGCATTTTCGAGGTTACTGTCTATTAGTTTTCCATTTTATAGTTTTTAAGTAAGTTTCTAGTTTTTATGTTGGCATAAGAAATCTCAATAATACAAATCATTAACATGATGCAGTGGTATCAACACGGTCCTGCACAGGGTCTAAAACAATAATTCTGAACATTGTGAACTGCTTCTCCCAGCTAATATAGCATCTCACCTGTGTGACTGGTAACTCTGACATTTTAAATTTCACTATGATTAATTATTTACTTTACTGTCACATCAGGAAAGACCAGAGAGGGACCTACAGTATTAAAGAAATAAACTACTGAACACAATTTAATTTTGAAAACAAAATTGGATTGTAATAGAAAGACTTTAAATATTTCTTTTCTCAGTCTTACCTTTGAAATCCACTGGCCTAGAATCCCCCTCGGGATCCGCAGGGCAGAATCCTTTATTACACATATTGAGGAGAAACAAGACATCAACAAAACTCTTTTAAAGTGGTTTGCAACTCTTCTTCCAGTAGTAACCTAGTCTATTCTGGCACAGGGATAACACCAGGTATAATTTTTCCTAGTTTTGTGGCCACAACGACCACCTCTCAGCTACTTGCAGTCATGTATATTTCAGTGTCCTGGCTATGCACAGCTTATTCTTGTCATTGAAAAGCAACAAATATTTCTTACATGAAGAATCAGATTCTTAAATTATTGGATTGTTCTGCGAGGCAAATTGGGAGAAATTTGCCAATTGTTCCCATGCTTCCAAAGGAAAAATTAATCTAGACCTATCACGGAGGGACCTAGCTCTCATGGGAAGACAAGCCAGTTGTTTTTGCAGTATCTACAATATAGAGATCTTGCACTGATATCAAAGGCTTGCCTAATGGATGCATTTTTTTGTGTGAGTAGAATGTCAGTGACAACACCACTTATTTTTTCTGTATTACTAAAATGCTTGTAAAGCATGAAGAAATTTTTTGTTTGACATACCACACAAAAAATGAGCACTCCTGTCATTGCACAAAACAGACACTTGACCCTGTATCTTTCAGGGTTTGGTAGTAAGCTGCTAGTAGTGACTTTTGTAGTTATGGAACGATAAAAGCCCTAGGGCACAGAAAGCAAAATATCAGCTTGATTTTCAGTTAATGCTGTAAAATGTGCAGAATCTATGGTTTTTTCACCTTCAAGAACACAAGAAAGGCCACAATTCATAAATGTTTGAGATTCTTACATTACTTTCTCAATCAAAGAAGATATTTATAAGATGATTTTCTATTTGATATATAAAGTACTTTGGATGAGAATCTAGAATAGGATTCTAAAATGATTGTGTTCAGAAGAAATATGAGAAGTGAATAGGTATGTCATAACCCTAGACTTTCCTACCCTTCTTAATCAGCTTGTAGTAATAGTAAAGATGAGTAAATATTAAGGTATTACTCAGAGGTATCCATTACTATGTCAGAAACAAAGATAAAGCTATTGAAACTTGAGTATTTGACCCAAAATAAGGTATTAAGCTTCAAAAATCTGATTAAAAAATCATAGTTGCAAGTGCATATGCTTTCTGTTCACCCAATGTGAACATTAATGGCCTTTTTTTAACATCTTAATGTTTAGTTGAAAAGTCTACTGAAGTCATTTGGTTCTCTACCTTAACAGCTTAAGCACAGACTTTTGTTTAGGTTGTGATGGACCTGAGAAAATAACCCCATAGAGGTCAATGTCAAAGGAACTCCAAACCCAGGCACTGAGGACCTTATTATCCTGGGAAAGACATAAATGAGTCCCATGAACAATTTTTGTTTTGAATCATGAAAAGCCTTTTCTGGTAGTATATGAGTCTATTTGCCCCAGAAAAAAACCCTCTTTTTTAAGAATAATATAGAAAAGAAACATAGATATTTCACAAAGTACTCAATAAAAGTGGGATAATTTCAGAAAGAAATATTCTAGGCTCAAAAAATAGATTGAAAATGTATGGCAGTGGAATTTTAAGCAAAAAGAACTCTCTGAGAAGCTCTTTCTTGAGTTTCTTTGGTGGTGACAGTGAATGAATATCTGGAACGAGGGACCTAAGAAAAGAACATAAACTAATTTTTTGTTTGCATATTTTTTTTTTCTTTTGAGGGAGAATCACAGACTATTTTCCAAAATTCTTACAGAATTTGGAGTGTAAATATTCATGCCATCGGTCTCTATAAGAAGTTTTTTCTTCTATGATACAGTGTAGCTCATGTTGTTCTATGTGGATCTGCAAACTTCTTTTTTCATTTCTCGGTCTGAAGCTTGAGTATTTCTCTGTCCCTAAAGAAAAGCACCAAAGCATCTGCCCTGATAATTTTATGGTCTTATGCCTTTCTAACTTGAACCTAGTGTTTGGATTCTTTGGTAAGTAAATCTCCCAGAGGCCTGCTTTTCTCGTGCTGGTAAGCATATATCCTGCTTACCAGGATAAAATGTAGCAAACCAGTGGGTCTCAAAGTTATAGTATTTCACTCTTACTAATATAAATAAGAAAACACATCTTGTGAAGTGTAGTGTAAAAAAATCAGAAGCTGAATTCTAGGGCTGTAAGATTAGGATGGCTTCAAAGTTCCAGCAGGTTTGTATTTTAAAAGAAAGATGCTATTGTATTTCCCAAAGGGAAGAAGAATCTTCCTGGTGGTTATTTCTGGTAAAGAAATGGGAGTGGTGAAACTCCACCATTACTTATAACTTCATTAGAAATTATTCATCAGAGGAAAAAGTCTACGTACTTTTAACAATAGAAAAGTAGATTGGGGGATTTTTGTTTTGTTGGTTCTACATTCTACATTTGAATCTGCACTTGAATATATGTCTTTCAAATTTCCTTTGGGGAAAAATACATTTGGAACAGATGCTGATTTCAGTTACCCTGCTGTAGTTTTTGAAATCAATGAATTACTCCTGATATAGTGTTGCTGAGAATATACAATATATTTTATTTATTTGAATATACAAACAGGAAGGTAAGAATTTGATCTCTTAGTCATATTTCTATGTTATTTTCTATTCAGTATGCACAAATGCCTAAATAATGCCTTATTTCTATTAAAGAAAATGTGTTGCAGATAAATTTAAACCTAACATAAGCAGGTCTAAGCTTCTACTGAATGCAGTAGAAAAAACACTCTTT